CAGCGGCTCAAATATGGTTGGTTCCACTGAAAATCGTATTCATTGTTTCAAGATTTAAGCCGGCGCCCAATTGAAACCGGTTTTTTGGCGGATTTAAGACGCGGCTCAAATTCATTAAATTCGGACACTGGTGGTTCAATAATCCTGGTTCTATCAAATCTAAACTCGTCAAATTTTGTATTCTTTACCTGTCATACTTTTACATTGAGAAAATCTGTGTTCTTATCAACCATTCAACAAATTATATTACTTGTAAGTGAAAGAGTTGCATATGATTCAGAAGGATACCCTTAAAAGCTTTCCCTGATCCCGTTTGCATTATATATCCATGTTTGGTTTTGAAATTTGTCTTAGAACAAAAATAAGGTCTACTACAGTTGAAACCAGTTATCTAAGAAGAAAGAAGACATTCTGTAAAGGTCGTCTCTGAAGTCTCAACCTGTGTGGATATTTATAAACAAAATCAACTGAGAAGAGTACAAAAGAGTACAATAGAGTACAATAGAGTACACTAGAGTACAATAGAGTACAATAGAGTACAATTAGCTGAATTACCCGGCGTTGCCCAGGTTACTCATAGTTATTCCCGCCGTTTACCCGCGCTTGGTCTTAAATCATGATTTTAGATCAAGCGCCCAGGGTTGCCCGTGTTAGTCAATATTTGTTAGCCTATGTCACCCCCAGGGTACCCATTTGATTCAGCCGTCTGGCTAGCTATAGCGAACATAAAATGAGCGGTAAGAGCTTTATTATATAGATGTTTACAATGTATAATACTTGAAGATGCATGAGCTGCATTCATATATATTTTGTATATTCAATCTTTATTCATGCGATACATTATGATTAAATGGATTTTCACGGTCTTCCCATTTCCAAGATGCCTTTTTGTACATAGTGTACAGTGTGGTTCAATAAACATAAAAGTTTGATTTTCTAATCCCTATATCTTTGCATTCCAAACTTTGAATTATGTTACAATACGTTTAGATCTGTAAGTTTAAATGTAACACAATCGGGTTAAATTAGATAATTCGAAATATTACTAATATCTCAATCAATACAAAAAAATATAATTCACATTTTGGAAATTTCAAGGCTTAGGGCCCGTTATGTTACTTTAATTGTTTTGATGTTGAATTTACAACATCATTTGTCACCAATAAATACTCATATGGAAGACACCACTCAAGAAATTTTGGTCCCATGTTTATTGGAACACACTGTAAGCATAGAAAAACCAAGAGAGGCTAAACTGACTGACTGCTGATAGACAAAATCGATTGAATATGTATATAAATAATATTATTAATGCTTCTTCGTAAGTTTTTTTTTAAAGAAACGTTTTCCAGTATAAAGCTTCTCAATATTATTTCTATTTGAACTATATTGATATTATAATCTAGATTTATTAAAAACTTAATTTTTTAAACATGTACACCATTTTTTTCTTAACTTCCGGGTTCTCTTTAAACCGTTTCTAAACTTCCTTGTTTTCCGTGAACCGTTTCTAAACTTCCTGGGTCTCCATAAACCTTTTCTAACCATCACGGTTCCCCGCAAACCGTTTTAAAACTTCCGGGTTCCCTTGAAACTGTTTCTAAACTTCCTGGCTCTCCGTAAACCGTTTCTAAACTTCCGGGTTCCCTTGAAACTGTTTCTAAACTTCCGGGTTCTCTGTAAATCATGTCTAAACTTCCTGGTTCTCCATAAACCGTTTCTAAACTTCCTGGTTCTCAGTAAATCGTTTCTAAACTTCCTGGTTCTCCATAAACCGTTTCTAAACTTCCGGGTTCTCCGTGAACCGTTCGATCTAAACTTCCTAGTTCTCTGTAAACGGTTTCTAAACTTCCTGGTTCTCCATAAACCGTTTCTAAACTTCCTGATTCTCCGTAAACCGTTCTAAACTTCAAGGTTCTCTGTAAACCGTTTCTTAACTTGATTGCTCTCCGTAAACCGTTCTAAACTTTTGGGTTCTCCGTAAGCCGTTTTAAACTTCCTGGTTCTCCGTAAACTGTTTCCAAATATCCTGGTTCTCCGTAAACCATTTTAAACTTCCTGGTTTTCCATAAACCGTTTCTAAACTTCCTGGTTCTCCGTAAACCGTTTTTATGCTTCCCGGTTCTCAAAAGCCCCTTTCTATACTTTCTGGTTCTCTTTAAGCCATTTCTAAACCTCCTAATTCTCTGTAAACCGTTTATAAACTTCTTGGTTATATTTTAACCATGTCTAAACTTTCTAGTTCTCTTAAACTGTTTCTTAACCTCCTGGTTTTCCGTAAACTTTTAGACCTTCTGGTTCTCTTTAAACTATTTCTAGACCTCCTGGTTTTCTTTAAACCGTTTCTAAACTTCCTGGTTCTTCGTAAACAGTTTCTAAACTTCCTGGTTCTCTTTGGCCCATTTTTAAACCTCCTGGTTCTCTTTTAACCATTTCTAAACTCACTGGTTCTCTTTAAACCATTTCTAAACCTCCTGGTTTACTTTTAGCCATTTTTAAATTTACTGGTTCTCTATAAACTATTTCTAAACCTTCTGGTTCTCTTTAAACCATCTCTAGACCTCCTGGTTCTCTGTAAACTATTTCTAGACCTCCTGGTTTTTTTTAAACAGTTTCTAAACTTCCTGGTTCTCTTTGAACCGTTTTTAACCCTCCAGGTTATCTTTTAACTATTTTTAAACTATTTGCTTTTTAAACCATTTCTAAATCTCCTGGTTAACTTTTAACCATTTTTAAACTTACTGGTTCTTTTTAAACCATTTCTAAACCTTCTGATTCTCTTTAAACCATTTTAAAACTTACTGATTCTCTTTAAACCATTTCTAAACCTTCAGATTCTCTTTAAACCATTTTAAAACTTACTGATTCTCTTTAAACCATTTCTAAACCTTCTGGTTCTCTTTAAACCATTTTTAAACTTACTGGTTCTCTTTAAACCATTTCTAAACCTTCTGGTTCTCTTTGAACCATTTTTAAACCTCCTGGTTCTCTATTAACCATTTTTAAACTCACTGGTGCTCTTTAAACCATTTCTAAATCTCCTGGTTCTCTTTAAACCATTTTAAAACCTTCTGGTTCTCTGTAAACCATTTCTAAACCTTCTGGTTCACTCTAAACCATTTCCACACCTCCTGGTTTTCTTTAAACCAATTTTAAACTTCCTGGTTCTCTTTCAACTATTTATAAACTACCTGATTCACGGTCAATAAACCCAAATTTTCTGTTCGTTATAAATAGATTAGTTCAGCCTATTTAAACTAGTTACTAATTACTGTAAGTTGTGACTCCCCCCCCCCCCAGGGCTAGATTGATTAGGTATAGTGTTCAAGAAGAAGGGAATAAACATCATGAACTAATAACAAAATGGAGACCGATAATATAGAAACATGTAATATTGTCATAAATAGTTTCCGCTTTTTAGGATTTTCATTTTTACTTTTAGGTTTTAAGCATATTTGTTTAATAAATTATTGCATTTAACAATTTTGTTGGAAAAGAGTTTTCAAATTATGCAGTAAAGTTTAAGGGCGGATTTATGGAGCCATGACGGATAAAGCATTTCTGATTCAAAGTTTTTAAACTATTTTCAAGTTTATTTCTTTTTAAATGGACACTTCTTGTGAGCTAAATCCAGCCATCGAGGATAGACCATGTGAGCTGCGCTTTTTGGCCAAAAGAATTTTTTGGTTTAGTTATTTGGGACATTCCTTTTTATGGGACTATTCTTAATAAGTTAAATACTTTAATCGAATTCAGACAAACTGAACTTATTAATAAATAATCCGCGAAACTCCCGGTGTTTTCCGTATCCTACTGTGAACACACAAATGACACTTTTGATTAATGTTTAAGAAGGTTTTCACATAAACAAGGTTGGAACCAACTAGACTTTAGTATGCATATTTCGTAGCAATCTTTCCCGGATTCAAATCCATCTTTATCTAGTTCCTATCTAGCTCAGAATATATATTTGCAATATTTTGAATATGCGAATATGCGAATATGCACAGATTGCCAAGTTGACGCCAAAAGGAATAGAGTGACTACGAATTTTGAATGCACAAATATTTCAGAAGAAAAGAAGAAATAAGTTCGTAATTCGCAAATTTTATTGAATAAATGTTTGGGTGAGCTAAATTTTTGGTTTGGATACCGATTAGAGTTAACAAATCAACTCAATATCCAGGCTCCGTAAAAGTGTAAATTAAAGGATTTAATCGGCCCCGTAAATTGGCAACTTCAAGTCAATAAAATTTTCCTGAAATAACCATGTTTTATTGTACCTCCATGCAAGGTTCTACACTGTTCTGCACTGTACTGTACTGCAATTTACTGTACGGTAATGTACTGCTCATAAGAACTGTATACTATAAAGAGCTTTTTGTCTTGAAATGACAAAAATAAATCAAGTAAAACAGCCCATGTAGTAAAAGTAAAAGTATAAAATTATTTACTTAGGAAATATAACAAAAAATACAAAATTAAGTGTTTCAGGAGAAAATATTTAAAAACCTCTAACCTAAACCTCCCCAAATTCGAAAAAATATAAAATATAAATAAAAGGAAAAGGAAAGGATAAGGAAAGTTACATATATATTGTTAGTATTTTTCAACGATGAACTAACAACTTTTAGAAATAAAATTAATTCGCGCCGTTATTTAATAAAAGTACATACAGAGATATTTGCTACAATGCAATATATAAAGTTTCAATACTGAATATTTGCTTTTTTACTAACCCATTGGAAACCTGTCCAAGCAATTGTCAAACACTGTCATAACATGCCATGTAACCTTATTTTTAATAAATTCTTTTCGCATCAAAGAAAACAACAAATTGGCAAAGTTTAATTTAATACTTTAGCGATACACACAATAATTATAATTTCATAACAAATGCCCGTCATTTGTCATTCTTAAACTTTTAATAGACGTCAGAGAATAAAAAGTGAGGAAATAAAAAAAAAATAATAAAATAAAATTAATTTCATATATTTTAGGAACTCACAGTCTCAACAATGCTGGCGATAAATTTCAATATTGGGACCTTGATTTTCATCATTTCATCAAAGGGTAATTTTTATAAAATAAAATTATTGTAATTTGAAATCTGAAGGAGAGACCGGGTTTTGATTAGATTATTGGTTAATGTCCGAGAACGGAAAAGTTTTAGGTTGATAAACCAAAACTTGTCAGTAATTTTCTGAATAATCTACGACGTTGTAATAAAAAAAAATATTTTTCAACTTTATCTTGTTTATAACGTAATGGTAGAAAAAAAGACAAGTGTACAAATGGAAGAAACCTATGATTTAAAAATGCAAAATATATACTTTAAGGAATTATTCACTAATATTTATCGCTTATCTACAACATTTACGTAATTAAACATCCCGAATACAGTACAGATTTGTAAGCGTCAGAGCTGAAAACTTTAGAATGGGATATTCTTAATTCCGATCGCTTAATCTGAATATCCAATGTACACACTTTTGATTTTCTTCTTAATCCTACTGTATGAAAGTTACGTTTGATAACAATTACAGATACGATGCTAAATCAATTGGACTAATATCCGATTGAATTAATTAGTCAGCTGAATTCACAAGCCGGCTTTTAGAGCATTTAAACAAATATAAATCTAATCATTTTAATATGAAAATATCTAATCCCATTTGAGGATTATAGACATTTTGAACACCATCAATACCAGAAATGTGCAAAAATTACAAACCGGTTTTTCAAAAGTTAAAGAGCGCATCTCTTATAACTAAAAATTAATATAAAGACATAATTAGTCTTTATATTACCAAAAAGTGAGGATCAAGCATTTATCTCGATATCCACCATTCTAAAGTTTTCAGCTCAGATTTCGAATAAGGGAGTACGACTATTCTTATTAATCCTTAAACTTTGAATCTCAAAAGTTAAATAATGAAAAATGAAAAATTAAAGGAACGCCATGTTAAAAATATCATTTAGCCCATTAAACCGTCCTCTTTGATAAAACTTGAAATACGGTTCAGCCAAATTTTAATCAACATTATCTGCAGTAAAGATATTCAATAAACCCCGAAAAATATATCTTTAAAGGGAGTTACCGGCTATGTAAGGTAGTTGAACTGAGTATGCAGTTCCCCCCTCCCGGGGGCCAGCCGATTGGACTTTGCCTTGGGGGGTTGAGAAATAGTTGAATTTATGTCTCAAATGAATCCGAAAGAAGTTTTCCACAACACTGCAAACTCAGTTCTACTACCTTACATAGCCGGTCACTCCCTTTAATGTTTATTTAATAATTCTAATTTGTCGTTAAAATATTTTACAAGCGGTGGATTTACTGCATACTTGGCAAAACTAGTTTAATAATAACCGATTAAATATGTCCTTTTTATTAATCATAAATATTAAATTATTCTAAAGAGTTAGAAATATGAAAAATACAAATTTGTTCTAGATTTTATCGAAACATTAAGTAAATTTATAAATCATTATAAGCTTATCATGAATATTTATTTCTGAATTTATAGGCAACAAAACCAAGCTATTATTTTCTTTCTAATATTAGCTAAAAGGGACTATCCGCGTAATTTAAAGTGATTCTATTCCATTTAAACCTTATCATAGGCTAGAATGATGGAGCTATCCATGTTTTTTAATCTCAAAATTGATCATTTTCAATTTCAGTTCCTCCATAAAAGTTACTTGAGGATTTGCTCAGCAAGACGATAAAGTAAATTGACAGAATTTATCCCTTATTAAAATAGAAAACGGCAGCTAGCTTCCTCCTAACTTATTTCTTCAGAAAAAAGGGTTCAAATGTGAATTAGTCATGACACACTCTCTGCAAATTACGAGAAAGAGTCATTATTTTTCTTGTCTCACTTTTAAATACTAATTGTGTAAGTTTCAAATTGTTCAATACTATTGTTATTTGTTAACTTTATTTAGGTCTTAGTGAAACCAACGGTATTCAGACATTTCAGAAAACCTCAGGAAAAATCCCTCACTACATTTTTTTCAACAAAATTTAAAACTTTCATAAATAAATTGACACAAACTCTGATTTTCTCATTTATATTTCTTTGCAACCCAATGTCGCAGACATTTGATATTTCAAACTATGGGTCCCTTTAGATCAAATAATCCAAGTTTGAAACTTCAAATATTTAAACCATATCAGGTTGCAAATATATAGAAATTAGATAATTTAAGTATGTGGCAAAACTTTGTTCTTTTAAAATTTGGAACGAAAATATGATTTTTCATAAAATATGCAATCATATTTTGTAAAATTCTTTTCCTGAAAAAAAACGTGTTCTTTAAGGACATAAACTCATTAAACCTTCCAGCTATTTATACAGAAATTTAAACTTTAGTTATATGTTTGTAATTTGAGCGGAAAACCTCAGGTTTGGAGGATGTCTACTTTTCCAGCAAACTGCCCGAATTTGACCGAACTAAATCCCAGAATGTGACCGCTTTGGTCGGAAAAACTACATTTCTAGCCTGCAGTGTTAAAAACCTTAAACACAATCAAAAGGTATAAAACTTATTATGCATAAACATTTTATATTTAGAATTTTTAGAATTTCAAGTGTATGTAAACCACAGACTACACAGACTGTAATGTTTTTTGACTGACATCTCACGGCCACGTTGCATTCAGGGGTTAAGTTTTACAACTTTTAAAGAAATACTTCAATTTAAACATAAAAAATAACGTTTATGAATATTGTCTTTTTTTAAAGATTTTGCTTTTCCTATTCTAAGGATCCTTAGATATCCCTGAATACAGATGTCTCCTGATTGGTCGTGTACAGTACTTGTACACAATAGAACATGATGTGGAAAATATCGTATATTATAGGTGTTAATCAATCTCTGCAACTCTCTTATTTCTGATGTAAACACACTCTATATGTTGTATAAGTGTGCACTATATACATTATGCAGTATAAAATACAGGAAATGAAATATTCAAAAAAAACTGAAAAGTGTGGATTGCGTATAATAAGTAATGCACATTACTTTATTTGAAATAAATATTTTAAGATCGGATGAGATTGAGATATTGTGTTTATACATTTTTATTTTATAAATATTTTAACAAACGTATTCTACACATCTTCTACACATTCAGGATGTTTTTTTTTCAAATTTTAAAGATCATGGCGCTTTTTAACTTTTGCTATTTTATTATGAGTTTGTAATTTTAATTTTATTGCGAATGTCGAGGTTTTTATAGAAATGTTGGAAAGCATGAAAAACTATGAAAATTATAATACATTTGTATCGTATCTTTGTTGATGGTTGGTTGTTTTTTGGTGATTGGGTTTATTGGTCGACTGGCTCGTTAGTTTGTTGGTTGGTTGCTTAGTTGGATGACATGTTGGTTGGTTGCTTAGTTGTATGTCATGTTGGTTGGTTGCTTTGTTGGAGGCCATGTTGGTTGGTTGCTTAGTTGGATGGCATGTTGGTTGGATGGCATGTTGGTTGGATGGCATGTTGGTTGTATGGCATGTTGGTTGTATGGCATGTTGGTTGGATGGCATATTGGTTGGTTGGCATGTTGGTTGGATGGCATATTGGTTGGATGGCATATTGGTTGGTTGGCAAGTTGGTTGTAGGGCATGTTGGTTGGATGGCATGTGGGTTGGATGGCATGTTGGTTGTATGGCATGTTGGTTGGATGGCATGTTGGTTGGATGGAATGTTGGTTGGATGGCATGTTGTTAACATGTTGGTTGGTTGGCATGTTTTGTTGTATGGCATGTTGGTTGGTTGGCATGTTGGTTGTATGGCATGTTGGTTGGATGGCATGTTGGTTGGATGGCATGTTAGTTGTATGGCATGTTGGTTGGATGGCATGTTGGTTGGATTGCATGTTGGTTGGATGGCATGTTGGTTGGTTTGCCATGTTTATAGTATTTTAGAATGCTAGAGAAGTTCGAATTTTGTGAGTTAATAATGTATAAACTCTACTTATAACGTTTAACGAAGTGTCTTAATTTTTTGACGTACGAACGAAAATAATTATTAAAAATCTTTTGATTGAATTATCAATGTTCATGTTGAGGAATATAAAAATAGATATAAAAGATTAAATCATTTAAAAATTAAGAATAACGAGTTAATCTATTTAGTTCATGATCAATTAGTTATCTAATTCATTTTTAATTCAATTCTCTCATGCTTGACCCGGGGGGGNAACGATACCCTTGACATCTGTATCTGACATTTTTTTAATTGGTTTAAAAGTGTATAATTTTGATAGTGCATTTACGTTTTCCTGCGGTAGAAATGCGCAAGTCACTATTGCGAATTATCCTGCACAATTGAAAATTATAAACATTGATATATAATTCCTACTTGCTGACAAAAGGGCAAACGGTTGTGAATCAGGCATTACCATCTTTGCATGGTGGGTCACTTGATCTTTTTAAAGAGAATGTCTTTGAATATGGAAAAAAATATTGCAAACCTTAATTAAGATTTTAGATAATCGGATTAGATCTTATTTTCATTTTATATCTGTAACGTTTTTTTTAAAATTATAATTGCATAAAACCGGAGTCACGTGAAATGCTACCACGCTGCCATTTGTGGGAGTTCTGGTCACATCGGAAGTATTTATTATTATAAACTTGATGAGAAACTCACGTATAAAGAACTCAATAAAGGAAACTTTACAAAGAGAAACTCAATATAACAATCAGGTTGAATCGATTAAAGCACCAACTTTGGACAGACATTTATTTTACAATATTATTAAAATACAAACTGAGGATCAACCGAAGTTAATCCTGGAATCATAGATGAAGATAATTCTCCTCCTGGAGCTACTGGAGATTTTATCGACCTCTCTCCTCTATCCTTCATCACGACTGACCCTCTTCCGGGGCACAAAATGGACGTTCAGTTTGCTTTCTCTGACGACGAAAGCACCGTTATCCGTGCTCTCTAGCAAAGGGTCACTAGGGTTCGAATCTTGGTTCCGTGGAAAATCCCTTCCCCTGTTGGTAACAGATGCAAAGTAACGGGTTAAATCATTGTTATTCGTTTGTCCAGTCCTCAACTCATGATAAGACTTGGCTTTGGTTGAATGAACTAAGATTCAGTAAACAATATCCTTGGTGGGTTTACAATTATATTATCAATTATATCTATTAAAAATGAAAAATGATTAAATTCAAATAATAACAGGAACAAGCCTAAGTTTCTTAGGCAACTCTGGGATATCGTTGTTTTCAGATTGGTTGTATATTTGCTGAATATCATCTGCTTAAACCTACTTTTTTATACAAAATTTTATATATATAGATTTTTGTAAAAAATTCACACAGTTTTATAGCAATTTCTTGAGACAGGAACATCAAATAGATCTCTTATGGGTCTCGATCAACTCCTAAAAGCTTAGGCTTCAGCATATACCCCTTTCATTTTTCCTTTACAGTCCCTTAGTGTGAAATGAGCAGGAGGCGGAAACGTCATGTGTGTGTGTCTAGTGTACGTGTAAAGTTTACCGAACCGAAGGTGTGTACAGTAGGTATATACAGTACATACAAATCTCGGTATTTGTACAGTATAGGAGAGTACATTTGTTTATTGTTAATTGTTTGCTTAAAAATAAGTTTAATATATATGTAGTATATTATTTATATATTTAAGTCAACACTATAAGCCAAATTTTCATGCAAAGAATATAATTTGATTAAAGTTTACAATTTAAACTAGTCGTTATTTAAGCTTAATTATAATTGACAACATTGTTCTGCAATTTCCTTAACTGTAGTCATGTTGTGTGTCTGTACCAAAAGAGTGTGTTAGGTTACCGTACTGGTCTGCAAAGCAGTGCGACTGGCTTTCTCATGCCAGACCAGCGCCATTTCTTTTCCCTTTATTCTTATTCCCTGGAAATGAGTCTTTGAAGAGTGCACCATTTCTGTATCTTATTTTCGTTTGAATGTTTAACATCATTATTTGAGTCCGCAACAGTTGTATGGGTCCTACTGGACTTACATTACCGCTAAGAGTTACATTTTTATCTTTATCCATAATATGAATTATAAGTGCCATTTAAATTTCTCAAGAATTGAGGAAAAATTGTATCTTACTTTTTTTATAAGTTCAATAGTAATTTACAGGATCTCAAAGTTTTTGTGCACATTTTTATTTCTCTTTAAACTAGTTTTATCTCATGTCATGTTTGCTAGATTTTTAAAATGTTGCAAGTTGTTTACACTTTTTATCTTTCAAGTTTTCGTAATAATATTTTAGAGTTTATCTAATCATTCCACGACTGCACATTTACGGTAATAAAGACGACTGAGTTTCCTGTATTCTATTTCTAAATGAATAATTTTCGTGTCATTTCTATGTTCAATTTTAAATATGATGTCAAAATTCATAACAACAAACGAAATTCCCAACATCAAAAAACGATTATTCCGGCGAAAACATTACAGTATTTATTGTTTAATGTTTATGAATCTTATCATTATGTAGATATGTTTCATGATATTGTTTAATTTGAAATTTTTTCAATTATCAGAGAAGATTTTTGCAGCAATGATATATGTAAAGGAATAGAGTTTTTGCCACATACTCAAATTTTCAAATTCCTATCTATGCGAATTGAATTTGAAAATCTTTGATATTTCAAACTTATATTTTTTGATGCAACATAATTCATTATTTGAAATATTGGTCTACAACATTGGTCAGCAAAGATATAGGGATTAAAAAATCAGAGTGTGGGGCAAAGACTCAATTCCTTTACTTTAATGTGGTATCTAGGTATCCTTGTATATCTATAATGTGGTATCTAGGTATCCTTGAATATCTATGATGTAGTATCTAGGTATCCTTGTATATCTATAATGTGGTATCTAGGTATCCTTGTATATCTATAATGTGGTATCTAGGTATCCTTGTATATCTATTATGTGGTATCTAGGTATCCTTGTATATCTATAATGTGGTATCTAGGTATCCTTGTATATCTATACTGTGGTGTCTAGGTATCCTTGTATATCTATACTGTGATATCTAGGTATCCTTTTATATCGATAATGTGGTATCTAGGTATCCTTGTATATCTATAATGTGGTATCTAGGTATCCTTGTATATCTATATTGTGGTATCTAGGTATCCTTGTATATCTATGATGTGGTATCTAGGTATCCTTGTCAGGGTCGGATTTAAACATTTCAGCGGGGGGGGGGGCATATTATGTGCGCGTACGCACCCCTGCCCCCCTCTTAAAATTCAAATTTCTTGTTTGTTCAAAAAATATAATTGTTGTGGTATCCTTATATATTCTTGATGTGGTATCTAGGTATCCTGGATAAGACACAAGGATGTCCATATTCTAACTGCTGGAGAGAGAACGTTTACCACGGATCAGAGGTTTAGCGCTAAACATAATACAGACGATGAGTGGGTGTTAGTAATCAAATATGTTCAGGTAATTATTATTTAAAACTACTTTACAGGGAAGTTAATGGAATTTTACTTTACCAAGGGTTCCTAACACCAATTTTGTAAAACCTCTAGAGAGATGTAGCAATTTCACAGAAAAGTTGTACACAATTGTATCTTCTTTTGGGATGAAAATGCGCGAATTTTTCTGCTGAAACGTCTCAGAGCGTTTTTTTTACTTTATTGTCCAAGAGACGTGAAGTAATTAAACGTCATTCTGTTGGGGGAATTAAAGGGCTCATATGTTGGGCAAAAGGCGGTAAACAACTACATTTAAAAATGTCCTCAGCTTCTCTGTACAATAGTTGTAAATTGTTTCAAGGGTTCACATTTTTTTCTAAAAATTTGAAAAGAGGGAATATATTTGTTATTGAGTTTGGCATCACGTTTTTTAACTGAAACTAAGAGCTTTGATTGAGAGAAAATCAAAAATATATATCTACACTTTTTTTAACGTCAATAATTTCTATAAATAAAACTTAAAGTTCATTATTCATCGTTTACAACTATTCATATTCATTTGTTTGCAACTTTGCAAAGGTTTTCTTGAAAACATTAATCATTTCTTGAGGACTAATTTGTGTGATTATTCTATGGTATTAACATTTGCTATTCAGGAGAGGGATGCCGGTATTTATGAATGTCAGATTCCTACTCAACCTCCACAAGCTTATCAGATCAAGCTTAACGTTATCGGTAACTATTTCAGTTATATCTCAACGTTATTGGTAACTATTTCAGCTATATCTCAACGTTATTGGTAACTATTTCAATTATATCTCAACGTTATCGGTAACTACTTCAGTTATATCTCAACGTTATCAGTAACTACTTCAGTTATATCTCCACGTTATCGGTAACTATTTCAGTTATATTTCCACGTCATCGGTAACTATTTCAGTTATATCTCAACGTTATCAGTAACCATTTCAGTTATATCTCCACGTTATCGGTAACTATTTCAGTTATATTTCCACGTCATCGGTAACTATTTCAGTTATATCTCAACGTTATCAGTAACCATTTCAGTTATATCTCCACGTTATCGGTACATATTTCAGTTATACTTCAAGGTTATCGGTAACTTTTTTCAGTTCTATCTCAACGTTAACGGTAACATTTTCAGTTATATCTAAATGTTTCAAATCGTTGATGGAACTCTTCAAATCAGGACCATTTTAAAATAAGCTATCAGTCCCTTTAAGCTAAATTACTTAATAGTAACTTACATAAAATACGAACTATATTTCATGTCGAATTCATAGTCAGTATTCCCTCCTTGCAATTCCAGTTCTCACAACTGACGATTTTAAAACCCGAAATTGTAAATCATTATTAAAAATATTGTAATTTTCTCGTAAATAACCCAATTAGGTCCTCAATGTGCCTGAAATCTAAATGCAATTAATTATAAATTTGATTCTTTTATCACAATGATTGAAGGGAAATAATAAGAGAAATAATCAGAGATTTTTCAAATTTATTCCAAATTTTTTCTCCGAAAATTCAATGAAAATTAAATAAAATTTTTTTAACATTTACAGGCCCGAATTTTATTCGCTTAAATACGCACCTTACAAAATCTTATCGGAAGAATTTCTATAATGCACGACATATTCAAATCATATAGGTTTTAAATTATAACGGCTTTTATTAAAGAGATATTTAAAAATGTTTTGAATTTTTTTTTCACTGTATAAATTAGCTTGATTCATACTTATGCTTAGATTAAAAACTAAAGGGGCTACGAGGTCACAAAGTTGTGCCGGAAATCTCTCATAAATTTGACCTTCTCCTGTTAGCGTAATCGGCCGGGAGTTAGAACTGAAAGCTAAGGGGAAAACTCTTCTTAAATATATTTTTTAAAAAAGGGAATCTTTTCTAACAATAATTTCATAAAAGAAAAAACAAATAAATAATTCAATTTTTTTCTCTAAAACATTTCCCACAGTACAGCAAATAAACCAAAGCAAAACACATACAAAGAATGAGTTATTGTTTTAAATTTTTATATTTCTATGAGATGCAAATAAAATTCTGTAAGTTTAAAGATTGTTGAATTATAGACAGTTTCTACATTGACAACAAATTGTTTTTGTTTTTATTCCGTATCAAAATACACTTTCAGCAGTGAATTATAAATGCGATTTTAAAAATCAATGAAACGGGGGCCGGCTTAGAAAATTGGCATTAATTTATAATCAATAAATATTGAACTGATAAAAAGTACATTATGATCGAAAGTGATATTCAATGCGGACACTTTGCTTCCTCCAATGAACGATTATCACGGGATATCAAATAGATCTTGAAGTTCACAATTCAAGGGTTTTAACCACGTTACTTAATGAGAGTGTTTCAGGAGTAAACACATCTCTTTTTACCATGACAGATGGAAATACTTTTAAATGTCTTCTTCCATAAATTGTTTAAATTGTGTGATACCAAAGAGAATAATGAAAATATTAATCATAGTACAATTGATTTCAAAGTAAAATATATTTAAGTAAAAGATTTTTTTAACGAAATTTACTGCAAATATTCTTATATATATATTACAATACAGTATATAGAAGAAGACATTCAAACTATTCAACAACTGTCATGTTTCGTGGGACACCCTGTATTTAAATAAACATGCAAAACGTTATATTTATTTAGTGCCACATGTTGGAATCCAAGGATCACCTGACCTGCATGTTGACCGGGGTTCAATGATTAACCTGACCTGCACCATCTCCCATACACCTGAACCACCAGCATATATATTCTGGTATCATAACGACCAGGTCGTCGCATACGACTCTCCCAGGTAATATAAACTTTTATGAAATATGTATAAATATTTAATATCTAATAAAAAGTCTTTTCTTTCATTCTGTTTAAATTATTTCTAATTATATAAAAAGATAAAATTTACAAAAACAAACTTTTCAACAGATTTAAACAAGGTTGATTTAGCAAGTTTTTATCAAATCTATTTCTTTCAACTTTATCTGAAGAATTTAAAGTTTTGAAAGTCCTGCATCCTATTATACAATATAATACAGTAGACACACTCAGAGAAAAAGAAAGATTTTTTCGTTAAAAATAAAAAAAAAACTATAATGTTTTTACTTTACGAAATTTTATTAAACGAATTTCTTACTGAACGAACGATTTAATTGCACAATCTTTTAGTTAGAAAAATAACGATACAGAACGTAAAAAAGCTAAGAAATGGGTCGTTACCGAACAATGAACAAAATAATTGGAAAAAAAGCGAATGCGCCTAGCTCTATATAGTCCAATATAAAGCCTAATAATGGGAAAGAGAAGAGAACAAAATAGAGTATAGACTCAACATGAAACTCTTGGAACTTGACAATTTTATGAAAGAAGAGTTTTAAAACTTTTCATCGATGCATTGGTGCAAATCCATGAAATAAAATATATCTGCAGATCTCGAAGTTAGCTAAATACAGTGCGTATTAGAAAACAATAAAAAATGTTGTAGATGTAAACGATCTAGATACCACATAGATCCAGACTGCTGTAAACGATCTAGATACTACATAGATCCAGACTGCTGTAAACGATCTAGATACCACATAGATCCAGACCGCTGTAAACGATCTAGATACCACATAGATCCAGACTGATGTAAACTATCTAGATACCACATAGATCCAGACTGCTGTAAACGATCTAGATACCACATAGATCCAGACTGCTGTAAACGATCTAGATACCACATAGATCCAGACTGCTGTAAACAATCTAGATACCACATAGATCCAGACTGCTGTAAGCTATCTAGATACCACATAGATCCAGACTGCTGTAAACTATCTAGATACTACATAGATCCAGACTGCTGTAAACGATCTAGATACCACATAGATCTAGACTGCTGTAAAAAGTTGCATGAATTTTCAAGAAAATAATGTGTTACACCGCATTGCAATTTGCCATTGATTTTACCTCGCTAATTCAACTATACTTTTTTACAGCCCAAGACATGATTATTTTTAACTATAAGCAATTGGTTTACGATTTAGATTTGAAAAAAAAATTACAAACTTTTTATCAATTTTTATGTGAGAGATAGCAATCTTTGTATCACTGCTAGGTTAATAGTTACTGGTTAAAGGGACTTTCGACCTAATTTCAAGTAAACCTCAATTTAAAGCAATAAATGACCAATCCACAATTTATCCATCTTAAAATTAAAAGTCACTTAATTTCGTGGATAGTCCTTTAAAGTCATTTGTAAGTACATGTTCTCTTAGATCTAGTACTAACTCTAATAATCTAATATAAACTTCATGTATATATCACGTGATATGAGGTGCATAGGAAGGACCATCTTAATTCCACTCTTTACTAGGAATAATCTGTGGCTTAATTCGGACATTTTATTTTTTAAACCTGTTTTTTTTTATAAGGGGAGGAATTACAGTTTTAACTGAGAATGGTGAGGATACCCGGAGCCATCTGATAATCAAGAATGCTCGTGGCACTGATTCTGGAAACTATACTTGTAAACCATCTATATTTAAAACTGCTACAGTCAGGCTTCATGTTCTACAAGGTAAATGCAGTTGCTTTTTGTTATATTTTTCAGATTAAAAATTACTTTGATAGGTTATGAGAAAAATTTGGTAACTGATAATCATATGCTGTTGTGGTTTATCAATCATTATTACAACGTACCGTTTAAGCTGTATTTGCACAAAGCTAAAAAATATTATCAACGGTAAATTTGAATCGAGTTACGCTAGCTAAACCTTTCAACTTTTCATAAAAATTAAGAGAAGTCCCCCCCCCCTTACTGCGTGCTTTTCTTATATATGAAACGACTTGATACCTAATTAACTTATAATTACCAGAGTTAGATTACTTTTTGGCTAAAAAATCAGAGACCTTAGAATGGTGCAATGAAACCCTATTCATAAATGTGAGCTTTTGAAAAGTGAACAAATTCTTTTTTTCTATCAGTCTTGGATATAAAGTAGGATAGAGAGTAATACACTAAGAAATAGTTTGATAGAAAAGAGTTAAAAAAATAAAAAGACCTAATTTTTCTACCTGAAAGAATAAACTTCTCCTTGAAACAATACGCCAATATGGAATTATTTAGGTTTAAAAACATTTTTAGAGTCCATACTCCATGCAAGGTTTATTTACACTGTAAGTTCTCAAAGTGTCCACCAAAATAAGATTGACTCATATCTTCCCAAAATTATTGGTAACCTATAGTAAAAATGATTGCTGTTATTTCTTGAGAAAAGAAATATATTTTATTTCAAAATTTGACAATTTAATCTTTAGCATTATGCATAGTTTCATATATCAAAGAATATGTTGACAGCAACCATAGTTTAGGTTAAACATTCTGACATCAACCAACCAATTTATAATGACACCCTGTATATATATTTATTGTATAGGAGACACCCTGTATTGAAGTATTATGAATTGGGGACACCCTGTATATACGTACTGTGTAGGGTACACCCCGTATATATATTTATTGTATAGGAGACACCCTGTATTGAAGTATTATTAATTGGGGACACCCTGTATATACGTACTGTGTAGGGGACATCCTGTATTATATAAGTATTGTGTAGGGGACACCCTGTATTGAAGTATTATGAATTGAGGACACCCTGTATATACGTACTGTGTAGGGGACACCCTGTATTATATAAGTACGTATTATGTAGGGGACACCCTGTATATAAGCATTGTGTAGGGGACACCCTGTATATAAGTATTATGTAGGGTACACCCTGTACATAAGTATTATTTAGAGGACACCCTGTATATAAGTATTATGTAGGGTACACCCTGTTTATAAGTATTATTTAGGGTACACCCTGTTTATAAGTATTATGTAGGGGACACCTTGTATATAAGTATTATGTAGGGGACACCCTGTATATAAGTATTATGTAGGAGACACCCTGTATATAAGTATTATATAGGGAACACCCTGTATATACGTACTGTTTAGGGGACACCCTGTATATAAGTATTATGTAGGGGACACCCTGTATATAAGTATTACATAGGGGACACCCTGTATATAAGTATTATGTAGGGGACAAATATTTGATTGATCGGTTTTCTATAAAGTTGGACAGACAAACTTTTTTATTCTATTTCTAAAGAATTGACAATGATTTTACTCTAAGAAAAGAAAGAAATCAAATAGGTCTTGAGTACACTTTCCCAGGAGAACTTTTTAAAATTTAAAGTTACCCAAGGAAACTTTTCCCAACCCACCAATACTTCCAAATACTTTGGTTTTGTTTTCATTAAATGTTACCTAAACTAAAACTTAAAACTCTACTGCAAAGATCTTATTTTATTCTAAACCAAATAAATATAATTTAATGGACTTCAGACGTAATTCCAAGCGCAAAGGTGTCCTTTAATCGGTGACGTAGATATGTGACCCAAGCACGACTAGGTCGGAGAGTTCGGAGGGTTGAGAACTAAAAAGGTTTTATTGTTTTCTGTTTAATAAATGGTATTTAATTATCTCCATTAATATCAGTGTTATTGATCATGTTCAGTGTATTGAACGGTGTATTGAATGTATAGTCATTAATCAATTAATTAAAGACCCCCTCCTTCCCTCCTCAATATCTGAAGAGGTACTCAGTTCAGGGCTATACAGTAAATATAAGTAATTATGATTTTGTTTATTACTCAAACAAATAATTATAACATGCAAGGCTTATTGGGCTAATGGGAAACTAAACCCAGTTTATAAATTATCATAGATCTACGAAAGGCCTGACATGGTACTAAAGGAAGATATTAAGAGAAATATTCTCTTTAGATTTTACATATCTAAGATAATAGACAGCAAATAGACAGGCACGACTTGCGTTAATATATAAAGTTTAAGTTTTATTCTGTTAACGTTCTTTTTCTGATTGATTTATATTTGGGGACCCAGTAAATTAAGGGTATTTCATCTTTTGATTGTCTTTATCAATTGACAATCTGCTAAAGGTCTTTCGTTAGCAATTGACAATCTGCACTGGAGGTCTTTTAATTCCCATAGTGGACCCTATAAAATGTGGAAACGACCTTAAAGCAATGTTAAGTATAATTTCGTAAAGCAAATTCCACTGATGATATGAAACGTTTCTTCAAATACTGCACCAATTGATGCATTTCATGTTCGTTGGACTATTCAAAATTATAACTTGAGTCTTCCAGTCGTCTTCCTATTTCAAAGTATAGTCTCACTGCATGTTTTTTAACACCCTGTAAGATCTTAGGTTTGAATAGTCATTACTCATTAGGTACAAACTCTATTTTATCTATAAGTATTTTGCTGACCTGATAATTGTTTAATCAAAGCATAAGAATCATTAAAAATTTCTTGCTTAAATATTGCAAAAAAATATCACAATATAGTCTAAGTTTAATTTTCTGTTAGATTTATTTGCTCAGTACACTGAGCTTTCTAAATATCCTTAATTTGAGAGAACGAAACCCAAGTTTTTATATTTGCAAAGCAGCCCTGGTCAATCCACATTAAATATAAATACGAGTGAGGAAGAGACAATCAGGCCGCCCCAAGCCTCCCGGAGTCTCTGCTATACGTTAAGTTTTAAAAAATATCTTAACAACTTCTCAAGTGAATTTCTTTTGATCGGATAAAACCATTGATGGATACTTTTTTAAAAATTAATTCTTGTTGAATTAATTTTTATGGAAATGGCATTATTTAATAAATTTAAAATTATAAAAAAAATGTATCTGTGAATATTTTGCATAAGAAACGTTTTTGGTTTTGGTTTCCTGCATAGTGTAGGCTCGGATGGAAAATGTATAAGGCTCATGGCGGTCTTAGTGTTCCTCCCTCTCCGAGGAAGGATTGGCAAGAGCAATAAACTGGTTTGAGTATTGCCTGCTAAAATACATTGTACCAACCAACTTGGACAGAATGCTTTTATAAATTTGTCAACATTAATTGGTCTGCGTCGTTATCATGCAAATAATTATAAAAACCAAGAGGGGGGGGGGGGGCAACAGCACTCCACTCTAATTTTACTTTTGTTTACGACAATAATTTTTAAATATATCATTGACAAAAATGAAAATTTAAATGTACATAAATTGCAAGTTTAATAATTACTTTATTCTTTTAGATGATCCACCGCGGGAACTGCACCATACTTCAGACGGAAGCGCATCCGTTACTTTCTCCCCAGTCGTCTTCGTTCTTTCAATTCTTCTAGAAACATCCACCGCTGTTTTATTGGCAGTTGTAAACTAGAAAGAAAGTTGGTAATTACATGAGTATTATCAAAGATTGGTTAACTTTTGCAAGCTTAAAACTTTCTTTACGTAAACTGTAATAGAAGCAAGGTGTCTATTGTGATTGAACTCAACAAGGGAAGGTTTATAACTCCTTAAAAAATATTATGAACAAGAGGCTATATAGCTAGCTTTAAATATACAAAAAAAAATTATAAATCTAAAATAACTCGTAACAAAAAATTAGCTGAACCTACAAAATGTCTGTAGTTTTTTTTAATAAATACCAGTTGTGAATATCTTTCAAAGATTTAATGTTTCCTAGATACTGTTCATGACACAACACAATTATCATTGTTTAGATTTAAGCATTTATGTCACTTTTTGTATTCTTTTTATTCCGAAAGAAATCGAGTCTTTGCGCCACAAAATCAAATTTTCTAATCCCTATATCTTTGCAAACCTATGGTGTTATCCCCTAATATTTCAAACATAGATTTTTTTATTTATAGTTTGAAATATCTAAAGGTCAGAGTGTTGCAAAGAGAAAGAGATTATAAAATCAGATTTTGTGGCAATAACTAAATTCCTTTTTTTAAAAAAAATTAAATTTTAAGATAGAAATTGTAATGGTATTCAAATTAAGTTTTAAACCTGAACAAGAAAATGGTATCATATATATCTTTTTCAACAGAATTATATATCTTATTTTATTTTTTTTTCACCAAGATCAATCAAGTTTTCACTAAATATATCTGCTCAGTGTAATGTTTATGATTTTTAATAAACGTATTTTAATAACAAGTTTTTTCAGGATAGATAGATTCTTAGGTTAAAAATATGTTGGTATTTTATTAATTAAATTAGTCCAGTAAAGAATTGTTAAAAGATTAAAAGAGGAAACAGCCCGAAAAATAAAAGTAAACCAAAGCAATAAAAATATCCTTTTTTATATTTGATAATTCCCAATTGTATTTTTTAAAGATTTATTCGAAAGCCAAAATATAAAATATTCAGAATTTAAAAAGTTTTCTAAATAGGAAACAAAAGATATCTTCCTCATTGTTACTCTAATTTAATTGGTAATTTTGTGAATCATACATGCACTTCTAGGCGAGGGTCATTTATAAAGTATAATTTATTTTCATCATGCAGTAGAATATACATAAAGATAGTAGACAAAATATAAAAAAGGTAGATTCCTCAGTTTCCTTATTTATCTGGACGCTCTGGATAGAAGGTAGATTCCTCAGTTTCCTTGTTTATCTGGACGCTCTGGATAGATGGTAGATTCCTCAGTTTCCTTGTTTATCTGGACGCTCTGGATAAATGGTAGATTCCTCAGTTTCCTTGTTTATCTGGACGCTCTGGATAGATGGTAGATTACTCAGTTTCCTTGTTTATCTGGACGTTCTGGATAAATGGTAGATTCCTTAGCTTCCTTGTTTATCTGGACGCTCTGGATAAATGGTAGATTCCTCAGTTTCCTTATTTATCTGGACGCTCTGGATAGAAGGTAGATTCCTCAGTTTCCTTGTTTATCTGGACGCTCTGGATAGAAGGTAGATTCCTCAGTTTCCTTGTTTATCTGGACGCTCTGGATAGAAGGTAGATTACTCAGTTTCCTTGTTTATCTGGACGCTCTGGATAGATGGTAGATTCCTCAGTTTCCTTGTTTATCTGGACGCTCTGGATAGATGGTAGATTCCTCAGTTTCCTTGTTTATCTGGACGCTCTGGATAGAAGGTAGATTCCTCAGTTTCCATGTTTATCTGGACGCTCTGGATAAATGGTAGATTCCTCAGTTTCCTTGTTTATCTGGACGCTCTGGATAAATGGTAGATTCCTCAGTTTCCTAGTTTATCTGGACGCTCTTTTTAAACAATATTTATAACTCAATATATACAGATGTCGGAAACCGGAAATGAAAGAAGTTTTTGTCAAAACTTGGAAAACATCTTCATTTTCAAAATTTTCTTCGCACAGGGACATTTTTTAAATACTATTAAATCCATATTCACTGAAAGGATGATTAGCAAGACTTGGAAGTACAATCATTTTCAAAGGCATGTCCTACGGGCGTACATTTAAATATCCGAGGTGGGCCAACCATTGCAGTCCTACTGTGGACTGTACCCCGGCAGAGGAGTGTAAAGGGTACCTTCATGTCAAATGGCAAAAAATAGTTTTAAAATCTCATTTTCTAAACATGCACTTTGTGGATTTATGAACGCGTTCGCCATATTAAAAATTTTGACATTCTGTGATATGACGTTTTGTTAGTGGACAATGGACATGTATGTAGGAAAAATAATCATTAAAGAGATTGTAAGCATAATTTCACGTAGCCCTCTATTTAAAAACGGCATTGAACTATTCATAACGCGTCCCTTGAAACCTTTATCTGATAAGATAACTACGTTATTATAGGTTTGAAAATTTTGAATTCTGATAATGCTTATTTTTTTTCCTGCAGTAGAAATTGCGCAAGTCACTTTTGTAAAGAAACCACAATTGAAAATAATCAATAATTCAAAATTTTAAACATTGAAATCTAATTCATACTTGATCAGGCAACGTTAAATGGGTACCGTTGTCAATAGGGCCTTACCATCTTATTTGCAGGGTCATTTGAAATTAAGCACATGTTTTATGACTTAATGCATAAATGCACTATTCTGTAGAAAAATTATTCATCCTTTGCATCAATATTGGCATTGATTCAGCATTGCGAAGCTACTAGAGAATAGCAATATATAAATCCATTTATGCAAACCAATAGATCAATATATACTGCAGAAAATATTGAACAAGAATAATAAACAAAGTGTTGCAGTCCCTAGGACGGAATCCAACTAGACAACATTTCCGGTTTTATAGAATTCACGAGATTCTACTGATCTATTATTTTTAAAACAACTGCAGGAATAGAGAGTTTTGTGACATTTCATAGATGGGACATTTCGTAGATGGGACATTTCATAGATGGGACATTTCCTAGATGGAAATTTCATGAATGGACATTTCATAGATGGGACATTTCATAGATGGGACATTTCGTAGATGGACATTTCATGGATGGACATTTCATGGGTGGATATTTCATGGATGGGAAATTTCGTAGATGGACATTTCATGGATGGGACATTTCATAGATGGGACATTTCGTAGATAAAGGAGTTTCATGGACGGATATTATACATTTCATAAATACACATTTTTGTTAGATATACATTTTATAGATGAACATTTCATAAATGAACATTTCATTGCTTGATGGACATTTCATAGATAACAGCATTTCATAATCAGGACGTTCCGTGACCATATAATATATAATATATATAATATATAATATATATTATATATAATAAGCTAAAATAGGTTTTTTCCACAAGTTCACATCCATTATATCATTTAATTAACCCACAAATCATTCAAATTTGTGTCATTGCGTCATTGCAATGATTTTTCTTTGAAATATACGTGTTAGACTTTTCTACGCATATTAGTGCCCGCTTTATGGATAAACTCCTGTCTACGCCCCTGAATATTATTGGCTGGCAAACATACAATTATCCAAGGTTGTAATGCAAGGAAAGTTATTTCAGAGGTGTACGCATCTTTTGTACTGCAGTGAAATATTCTGGTCATTTGAATTATCAAAATTATCAAAATTTAATGCTTTTATCCTCCTCGGATTTATAACGAACACTGATGCATCTATTCTTGTTTACGCTGAGTATACGCAACTGCAATTAACTTTCCTTGCATTACAACCTTGCAAATACCAAAGAATTATAATGTAAAGAGAGTTATTTCAGAGGTATACGATTTTTTTGTACTGCAATATATTGTTTCTGGGCTGAAAGTAAACACAAGACGGATGTCGCAGCCTAAAATGGGATCCATCTTTCACATAAAAAATCAATGAAATATTCTGGTCATAGGAAACTATTATGTGAATTATCAAAATTATCAAAATATTAAAATAAACCCTTGAATACTAAAGGAACACTGATGCATTTATTCTTGTTTCAGACACCGGCCAGATAGAACCATGGTTTCAATATATACGCATAAAATACGTGACAGCAATTAATATGGATTGTAAACACAGTATTGCAGTATTGCATACTGCACTACATGCCAGTTCAGTTGTTTGTTTTTGTTAATAAAAGTATGACCAAATATGCATCGTGAAAAAATGCACAAACAATTCTTCTTGTAAAAAAGTGACTTTTTTTTCAAAATATCAAAATTCAAAACACTGTGCATGGCTAGACCTTTTAAGGTTGGGAGACTTTACCGTATATTCCTCAAGTTGTATTTGCTCAAACCATTTTAAAGTAGAGGGGGGGGGTTAAGGCCTAGAAAAATAACCCTTAAAAGATTATGAGCCCTCTTTTTTCTTTAAAAAGAATTGCAAAAATAAGCTAGCCTGAAAAAAATGGGCAATGAACATGTATTGTAATTAAAACCTGTATGCCTTTGTCTAAGATATACAAAGATTCAGACCCCCCCCCCACTCCCCACTTTAAAGGGTGAAATTTTCTTATTTCGACTGATTTAAAATACTAAATAATCTGAATAGTGAATATTATTATGATTTTCATTTTAAAATTGATTTAGAACAATAACCCTCGGATAAATTTCTTCATGTTTAGTTTGAAAAAAGTTCTAGTTAAAGCTATTCAAATTTAATCAAACAAACAAACAGACAACTAATTATTTCCAAATTTAAGAATGAAAAAAAAAAAAAATTTATTTATATGTAGTGAATATGTATAATTCATATTTATGGAATTAATATTTAAATAAGAAAATTGTTTCTATAAAATGTGTTGATATTAAAGTGAGTCTTAAAGTATGTGTTTTGACTTGAACTAAACTTAAGTAAGAGCCTAAGATCATGTTCAACCTGAGCCTAGATATGGTTCCATTTTTGATATAGTACATATCATTCTCCTTCCAGGGATAAAGCTTCCCTGCTAAATCTTCATTTCTGGAAAACCAATAGAAACCATTGGAAACTCATGGATTATGATATTTTATATTATTATTATGTAGTAATTAAAACCCCATAAAACCCTATATAAATTCAGTGCTTATATGAAATAAACAGTGTGCAGTGTGTATAGTGTATACTAGATCCATTTTCTAAGTATAGATCTACAGCATAGAGTAATAAAACGAAGAGGTTTTGGCGATCAGCTAAATAACTACAAGGTTCACGATTAACTGATTATATATTTTATCTAAGATACGTGGTTAAAAGTTATCTATATATTCACATGGTTTTTTATTATGATTACGTGGCTCAAGAAACTCCCCCTAGTCTTCTCAGCTGCCGCGGAGAATTATCCAAGAAGGACGACTTTCATAACCGCCACAGTAGTCCCCCCAGAAGGAACGGCGGAGACGTGGCGGAGCTGATTCTTCTATCCCTTGAAGACCTGTAAGGATTCCGACGTGCAGGTGCAGGTGGAGGATGAACTCGAGGAACAAGTTGGAACCTGACTTTCTTGGGTATTCTTGCGGCGGAGGATGGCGGAGGATCCGAAGAACTTGCTACTGGACGACGGCTGGGTCTTCTTCGAGGCGGAGGAAGAGCAGGAGTGACGGGAGCATCACTGAACGCAGGTTTCAGTCGATCAACAGAAACCACATCTTGTTTGGAACCAATCTGGAGGCGGAAGTATTTGCTTCGCCTTTCTAAAACCAGGTAAGGCCTGCGATAACAAGGAGCTACAGTAGGAATAACTGCATCCTCGCGGACAAACATGAACTGAGCTTTCAAT